ATATCGTATCTTCATATATGTTTGATACACAGAAGGATTTCCATAATAAACTAACATAAATCAAAGATATAAAAAATAAATATCTCTTATGATTAATGAAAGGTTAGCGGAGGTTTCCAAACTGTCGTTAAATTAAATGAATATCGGTTGTTATAATTAATCATTCACAGAAACGGTCTGCAGCGTTCAGATAAAGTAGAAAGTAACATAAATGTTTTTTTTCATACAATTAATAAGTCTGAAAATTACAACATTAATGTTGTTATAATATGCATATATTAAATTTTATTTATTGTGTATTCACTGAGATATATGAATAATAAAATATATTTGGATTGAATTTTTGTTTTGCAATATTTTATCGCTATTTTCTCTATTATCAATCATTATATTTTTTCAAAATAGGAATAGTGTTAAGGACTTTATTTCTTTCATAATAATCAATCTCTACTTCAATTATTTCAAAAAAACTAGCTTATAGAGGCTAATACCTGGAATAAACAGAATTAATATAACAAACGCGTTTTATATAACATTAAAGACTTTTTTACTTCTTAGTTTTTGTAAAGTCACATTAATTAAAATCTTGTTGTCATTTTCATCTCGTATGCCCGTGATCACGGTTGCTGCAAAGTAACCTAAACGTCGGGAGTATGTAGTTAAAATAATCGAAATTGCGTGGTAAATCCAAAAATATTAGTTTTTCTTAATCCATGCAAACCCGTAATATTAATGAAAGTTTTTTAGATTTCATTAAGTGAATGCATCATCATAATGACCACAAAGCCAAACGCATGAAATAAGTAATCGAAAAAAAATTATTAATTTCATTTAAATGAATAGTCGCGAAAGCCTAAGATCTTATTATATGAACCAGTACGGACTGGAAATCGCCAATTGAAAAATGTTAACGCCGTAAAAGAACTTACAAATAATCTATACTTTTAACTGAAATGTTGAATATATTTTATCCTACGATATATACAAAATGATAGTCAATGAAATGAAAAGGGCTCTACAGCTCCAAGTAAAAAGTACAATTCAGCAACTTTTTGCGTATCTAGGTAATGGAATATGACAATTATTTTTGAATAGTTGATATGATTAATTGAATAAAATATTGAGAAACAGTACGACCTATATATAAATAAGAATGTATATAAAATTAATAAATAGTAAGATAAATATATTTTAATTACATATTTCTCTAAACAATAGTCAAGTAAATTGAATAACAAAAAATAAAATAAGCCATTGTAAATAAATTACTTCTCAGAACTATGAGCGAAGATAATTACAGTTATAAAATATGTTTAGTAAAAAAATTATTATTAGTAATATTTATTACAATACGATTTTAATATGTACTTATGTATTAAAAAAAGAATGAAGGCAGAATGGTAGAGTGTACTATGTGGTCATGATTTCCTAATGCGTTATAGGCCACATTGAGATAATTTCTTACTTAATCTTATTTTTGAGATATCATCTAAGCAATCTCTATTCCTAATATTTATCCAGCTACTCATAAAATAAACCTCACAAACTGATGTCCGTAACTGCCTTTATCAAGACAATTGTATTCCCTAATTCCTTGTTTGTTAGGATGCTAAGGAAGAATATTAAATGAAATTAACGATTTTATAGCCTTGAAACTTATGAGCATATGAACCGACTTGTGAACATTTTGAACATATAATTTGATACTTATCTTAGCTAAAAATTCCGTACGTTAAAACAAACTTAATGAAATTTTCATAAAGAAAAATTGTATGTAGTAGTAGATTACTGAATTTATTTACAGTTTAAAATATCTCGCAAATTACGTAAATGTTATTAATATTATCGGTAATATAAAAGATTTTTTTCAACAATTTAACAATTTACCATCAGTGCGTGCATTGAATATAATTAACAAGAGCGCGTCGTGTGCGATCTGATTCCTATCAATTCATCTGTAAAGACTTTTAGTAGTTTAACTATTAATTTTATTAATTAATTAAGACACACATTAAAAGAATATTTCAATCTATGTAAATAAAGACCATTGTACGTTAGTGTCAGAAAAATAATTTTTATAGCCAAATAAACTTGCTATATATAGCCAACGGTGCCAAGTAGTTAAAAATAAATATTATAGGAACTGAATAATGGAACTGAGAACATTAAGACATTAAGGAAATTTTGCATTTATTTTTAACTACCACAAGAGGTGTTATTAAACTCACTAGCGAATTTACCTAGTTTTAACAATTATTCTTTAGCATGATTCGATGTCTCTGAAATATCTATTGAAAGTGTTTACTTTATAGAATATACTTAAAATTTTATTATATTTAAATACACAAAATATTAACTTTTACAGATCTTATACATAAGGAGATCTAAGACTTTTGCGAGTACTCATTTAAATGAAACTAATATTTTTCGGATTACTATACGCATTTTATTATTGTCAAAACTACATACTCCTGACGTTTCGTTTACTTTTCAGCTACCATGATCACGAAAAATATTAGTTTCATTCAAGCCATAGAGCCAAGAAATCACATATAATAATAAAAACGTATTATACATATGTGCAAAAGTATTAATTATAATTATTTATGGTGTTAGAAGTCCAAGTAGGTGTGGTTTTAGGTAATTTAATTTTTTTTTTTGTCAAAACCCCTAATACGTATTGTAAACAGATGTCATTCGTAGGTATTTATGAGGCCATTCCATACATTTTTTTTTAATAAAAACTATTCCTTATTATTGTACCACTTTTAGTTTAAATAATAAAAACAATCAAAGTTGGGATATAAAAATATATAGTCTTAATAAACTTCTGCCTTCATTTATCAGGAAAGAGAAAAGTTGAAATAAATATATAAACCAACTAACTTCACTGACCACGTAATATTGCCTACATTTTAGGCTGTTCAGTTTACCTTTTTTAAAATAATCTTTAATATTATTTCCATCAACTCATAAATGTTGTCATAGCTAGATATAAGTTGAACGAAAGATACAAAAAAATATTTAAACGTATGTTAAATAAAAAAAAAAGTATATACTAAAATCTATACCCAAGCCTACATATGATACTAGGACAGGATAGTAATAACATAATATTTCTTGTCTGGAATCTGGAACTATAATTTGCTATGTCCAAGTAATGATGTTACGAACACAATAAATCACTAACTTTATAAAAAGCGATATAAAGTTGTGGCACAAACAATCTGTGTTTTTTATTTTCATGAAAATTATTGCGTACCTATACGACACTGATTTGTTTTGAATGAATTTCTAGTTTAAGTTATGGATAACAGATGATGGTCTTATTTTGAAAAAAAAAACCTATGATAATCCTGTGACTTGGACATTTAGTCTATGTGTCAAAACACGTGACCGAGATCTCGCCTACGAGGTCCAGGGACGCGGGGCCTTGCTATCAAAATGTCTGGGAGTGGAGAAGGTTGCAGACGAGCATATAATGATATAATACAGTCTCTAATATAATGTTTAATTACACAAAACAGGTGAGAAATGTTTTCTTTATTAATAGATTCAAATGTTTTAATCATAGCACAATAATCAGCTTGAATTCTGTGAAAGCTATTGCATTGTTTTCAGAGACAATGAGACATGTGAATTGAGAGAATAATAGGTCGGATGGGATTATGTACCTAATCTGTGCTTTGTGATGAGAAAAAATATTAAAATAATATTATTAAAATCTGAAATAAAATTAGGTAAAAATTTTTATATCTACCAGCTAAATGGTTAAATTTTTGCAAAATATTTAAAACTAGAGAACTTTTATAAAGCCAAAATGTTACAAAAAATAAAAAAAAAGATTCACGTGTATTGTAAACATTTACAAGGATCACAAAAAAATACAAAGTTACAACGATTACAAAGATAACTGTTACAATTATAAACATAAAATTGTCGAAAAGGTTACTAACCTTATAGTTTCTAAGTGTCTTGAAAAATGAAGGAGTATATACATATAATTTCCGAACAGATTTATTATATAGCTATAAAAGTGTATTGTTAATAAAGCAATAAGAAACTAGTATAGTGAAAGAAAAAGAGAACTTCTATATATTATAAATACAGCTGCAATTGAAATAATATTTGATAAGTAGTTCACCAATATACTTAGTTTATAATCGTAATTTACGAAGTAACTTCTTCACTAGTTCTAGTAACACTTATTACAAACTAATCCATTAAGCTTTCAAAGTGATTGCACCACCTTTACTTGAGATACTTACTTTTAAAATCTAAATGTTGAGCTCTTCGCATATTCACTACACCTTATGACTATCTCGTTAATATCTTAATATTTTAACTTTGATTAATGCTCAACAACAACAACACTTTGTAACCTTTATCTACTTTATGCACTATGGTATATAAAAAACCGAAGCGTCTGGTTTGAGACATTTTAGAATACGCTTGAAAAGCTTTACTATCTGACGTTCGTAAAATGGTTGGATGAAATTACTCGAATAAAATGGCAGTAAGAATTGTACTGTCCATAAAAATTGGTAGTAGCGGTATTTGATATTTAATTCAATGTTCAAATAATAAGTATTATCTTTTTAAACTTAAGTCCCGCTTGCAGAGTAAAACGTTCCGCACGTGCCTCGCTTTTCTACAACTACAAATTGATAATATTTCTCTTCCAACACAATTATTTTTAAATTGAAGAAACTATGAATTGATTGAGGCAATTACATAAAAATTTAATAAAATATAAGATCTCATATAATTTTTGAACAATTATAGTTTGTTTTATATAAATGTTATGGTTAATTGTAATTTAAGACATTAAATGCAATATGGCAAGTTCAAAACATTTTTAGTTAAAACCTCAAGTTTAGTTTCTTTATTTGGTTCCATATAAATCACGATCAGTAGGTTTTGTGAGAGAAGGCACTAGGGCTACAAAATCAAACCTCAAGCCTTACTCCATCCTTAAAGCGGCGTCGGATTGGACTATAATGATGGACACGTATGAAAAACAATATAAAATCCCCGAGGATATTTGTGCGTCGGCCTCCAGACCGGATATATTTTTGTTTTCGCGAATTTTAAAGCGCGTAGTGATGATAGAGCTTACGGTCTCTTGGGAAACCTACATCCCCAAAGACCATACCATCAAGGTCAACAAATATTACGAGCTCACAAACGAACTCACTCGAAATAGGTTCGTAGTAGATTTGTACGCGGTAGAGGTGGGAGCGAGAGGCATAACAGCGAAATCTCTCTACAACCTACTAAAAGACTTGGGCTTGTCCAGAACTCAAATTAATGCATTCTTGGAACGTACATCGAAGGCAGCCCTGGTAGGTTCTTTTCAAATTTGGTTAGGTAGGGAGAGAAGCTTGGACATTGGAGGTGAGCGTATAACGCGCGTTAGTTAAGGGGCCCCCTAAACCTACAACTCGGTCGCAAGTCCCAGGCACTGTTGAATCTCCGCTCCCTGCAACGCGATGGACCCGGCGCCCGCACGGTGAATCCATTGAATGCTAAGAGGTTTCGTCTCTTTTTAACATAGTTTATTTATCTTTCTATACTATTTGTTATTTTAATTATAAAACACCTACGATTTATTAAAGTACATATTATAAAGCAAATTTCATAGAATCATTAAAGAAGACAGTGAGGTAAAATTATTTCCAGAGACTTCTTCATTTCGTTATTTCCATAAAACTGATAAATATATTCACATTTTATCTTGTTTTTTTCGTATTGCAAAATTAATTAAATTTCAATTGGATTCTGATAATGTGTAATTGGGATATTGATGGTGGAATGTAATATAAATAAATTATAACATTTTTCTGTAGAACCCATATACATAATATTTATATTCTGCAAAAATTTTTGGTATCTCTTGGGGTCAAAATTGCATTTCAACTGTCTTTGTAGTTCGTATTACAAACGTCATTTTGTTTCAAGGTGACATTTACGACCTATCGGTTCTACTTAGCAACAGAACAAAATTTAATAGAAGCTAAAAAGTCGTTTAAATGGCTGCAAAAATAAATTGAAAAGTTTCGGAAGAAATCTCAGAATGTCCTTCTATAGAATATTATATTACAATATATATTATATTATATTACAATGACATATCAGCATAATAATGCATTAAACTATAGTTATATCATTAATGAAGGGTCAATTGATCTGACGAACCATATTATTATCAATTACGTGTGGATACTGTGTCAATTAAAAATATTATAATTTTTCTTAATGGTTAACATTTTCACTGTATTAAAAAGCACTTTGTTGAGAAAAATTGATTATTACCTAATTATCTAGGATTGAAATGGAGAATTAGAGAGGTCTATATTTTACACTAAAATTTATTTACATATAAAAAAATATAAATGTATGTTATCAAAATTTATATATTGCCTCAATCCGATGTAGGAACGATGTGATCGGTTATAGGTTTTTTGGGATACCTACTAGTCAACAATATTTGTTAAATATTGTGTCCCGAAGTCCGTCGTTGCATTGTAGTAACCGACGTATGTATGTAACTATCAATCCTTCACATACAATACAACTATTCGACATGTTATTTTAAGAAATCGAATATTTCTAAACTATGCATTAATAGACTTATATCATGTTTATTGTGTTAAAGGCAAATTAGCATAACATCGTTTTGACACATATTTGCTTACATAAAATACTACTAACAATTTAGAGAATTTTGAAAGTGTAAAATTTGTGTCAAACTTTGTATGGTTGCTAATGTACATTACATGTTATTTAAAGATTGCAGAAACTTAACGTCTTATAAACAGAACATACATTACGCGATGACTTAATTGAAAAATAAAATTAATCAGTTTTATTTATAGCTAAATATAACAGCGTGATATCGTTATATAAAGTAGTTAATAGAGTATAACGTGTGTTGTATATTAGGAATTGAAAATTATTTTCTTTAATATATTTTTTAAAATAATAAAATATGCGTAGAAATCCGAATAATACATATTAAATTAATTTGAACTTATAACCCATACCCAACACTATACGATAGTCCCAATATGGGGAGGATTATGCCATAACAGATATAACAATAAGAAATCTTTTGGTCGATACCCACAAGTCTTCGACGTCAGCACAGTTCCTTTTTACATAATATTTTTCATACAACGGTGCATATACAAGTAAGGCGATGTTCGTGATATTTTCAATAAATTTTGTACTTACGTTATAAACTAGGTAATTCTTTTCTAAGCAAGTGTATCATTAGAAATTTATTAGATGAAAATAAAATAAGGTTTAATTCACTTTATCCTCGTTCTCATAAAAGGAACAAACTGCATAGTCACTCTGTATGTGTTAAATCATTGGAAAGGCCTACTCTCATAAAATAAATATTCAAATAAATATAAAAAACAGCCATAACTAAAGCAAAATAAAAGCAGCATCAGTAACTCTATAAAATCGCTTAGGACTTATATATATTGACAATTATAAAAAAAGTTATGCTAAAATTATACAACAAAAGTCTTAAATCCAAACTTAATTTATACTTTTTGAGTACATACACAATAGTATTACAAGGTAACGAATTCTCTATAAACTAAAGCTTTCATTGTTAAGTTTCTAATTAATTATTAATTCTATAATAATGCTCTTTTAAGCTAAAATTAATTTTACTCTTCAAACAAAATGCATTTTACTTCAAGGGATGTTTTTTGTAAATTCATTAAAACTTACTAAGTACCAAGTATTAAATTATTATATTCAGAAACTTAGTCGTCTATAATATTTACTAAAAGATAAATAAATGCATACCACAAAGTATTATTTTCAGATCGATGAAAATATATTTAATTAAATGAATTACGTATTTAAAACAGTAAGTTTATGTTAAATCTGTAGTGATGTCTCAAATTAAAACACGTTTGTGCATATAAATATGTACATATGTAACTTGTCAATGTGACTTTCAATTTCCTGATGTTTTCTGCGGAGTTGTTTTATTCTATAGCAAGCTTTAAGGTATAATTTTATTAATATATACCTATGAAAACCATATACATAGTTTTAGGAAACTTTCCACAGTCTCTTATTATTCTTATATAAATATGCAGTTTTGATGCAATTTTTACTTTAATTAATATAATTAAGATTTTAGAATATACTACGCTTTTTTATTATGAGACAACATAGTCTAAAAGTTTCTGTGCCTTTGTAGCAACCGTGATTGCGGGAAGACGAAATGAAAACTTTCATCTTAAAATCTTACTTTTATTCAAATGAACGTTAAAATCTTGGATATCATTTTATTGAATCTTACCTAATTCCCAAAATCTTGGCGACACTTTTTGATAATTTATATTTTAGGAAAATAATGAAAAAAAAAAATACTTTAACAAAATACATCGCTATGCAACTATGTATAAGGTTGACTATTCGATTTAACTGTTTTAAAAAAGGCTTTTTAGCAAAACTTCAAAAGACATCAGTTGGATCTAATGGTATACAAAATCAATAAATGTGTTGCTTATTACATCATACTGATATATATTATGTTCAACTATCATTTTCTATAGCGAAATGAGACAATATGGAGGTGGTGGTGGTGGAGGGACTCAATTTATTTTTAAATCTTGTTTAACGTTTTTCAACTTCTTTGCATCAAAAACATATTTTACTTCAGGTCCAATAAATCCTTATAAAGTAAAATAATAATTTTGTGGCCACTTTTAGTTTTATTTCGGCAAAGTCATCCAACAAAATTTAGTCGTTAATATTGCAATTTTTTACTAATCAATTATGACTGGCATTAAAAAAATTTAATATTTTTGTTTGTCCCTTCATACGTTTTATTCTTTTTAGTTAGTGTATTATTATCAAATAGAAGTTACATTTTTTACATGTTCTTCCGAAACCTCTGAAGTAATAAACCATATTATTTTTATGTATTTCATTACATATTTATTAATCACCAGGAATCAAAGATATATTCTTTCTTTTTAATGATACCAATCATTTATGACAAAATATCGTATCATCGTTTGATAATAATTTTAATTTTTTTCTCAGGAATTATTTTCTCAGCATAAAAAGTAAATTTGTCTTTTTTGAATATATAACTATTCCTGTTGTCCATCAAGTTTTTAGCTTGTTCTATGTAGGTATATTTAATTTTTAAATGCTAATAATTTTTCAAAGAAGAATAAATTATTTCGAAGTTCTTTTAAATGGTAAGTTTATGGAGATTCTCTTTAGGAGGTTTAGATAAATATATCCTACTTATTCACACAACGATATGCAAGATTTTCGTATGTACACATTTAAAGGAAACTAAGTTTTTCGGATCCTACTCTTTTTTATACTTTTTTATATCTATATGATACCGACGTTTCAGTTCCTTTGTAGCAACCGTGATCACAGACAGACGAAATGAAAAATACTGATACTTACTTTTGTTTTTATGATATAACTTTATAAATTTTTTAAGTTTAGTTTTTATATCTTCTATATATATAAAAATGGATTGCTGTTCCTTAGTCTCGCTAAAACTCGAGAACGGCTGAACCGATTTGGCTAATTTTAGTCCTGAAATACTCCTGGAAGTCCAGGAAAGGTTTAAAAGGTGAGAAAAATTGGAATAATTGTCGGGAAAACCCTAAAAACAGCCCTTTTCTATTTCCCATACAAACGTTTTTTTTTTGACATTAGATTTGACAACTAACTAATATGTCAATCATTCTATTTGATTGAAACAGGAAAAACCTGATTATTTATGGCCTCTAAGACGGAATAGAGTTTGCCTGGTCAGCTTCTTCTTCTACCTGGCAATTTCCCAGCTATAGCCAGGGTCTGCCTTAAATGTTTGTGAATAGTTTTGGCTATTTGTTTTTACTACTGGCCGCCTGCCTGACCTCAACCCTTTCTTTGGGAATCAACATAAATCAGTGATGTCTAAATAATCTTAGAAAGTACATATGACTCGGAAAAATCACATTGGTACTTGCCCGGGCCAGGATCGAACCCGCGCCCTCGGCAACGAGAGGCGGGCCCTTTAACCACTAGGCCACCACTGACGTATACTAAAGTATATTGTATGTATTATTAAAAGTAATTTAAGACTCTGGTCAGCTATACCTACATATATTACTCCTGACCAAACTAACGCGGACGAAGTCGCGGGCAAAAACTAGTTTAAAATATATATATTACTTGTTACTTACGTAATAACCTAAGTGGAACAAATGTAACTCTGATAGTATATTGTTTTTACTAAAAAAATGTTTCTCATAGTTGACTTGCTACTGTAAAGTGTTTTAAAAGATTACACAATATTATACTGCATTCATCGAATGAAGTTCAGTGTGCACAACGAGAAAACTGTATTCTACAAATAGTTATGAAGTGAGAGAAG